TCTGTGGCTGAGGCTGTGTTCCTTTAAAAAGAACAGCAGCCTGCAATCGAATTGCCCGTCAGGTGTCGGTCGCAGCTTTGGCGACCCAGGGGGGTGGTCGTCCACGCCTCTGTGTGGCCGAGGCGGTCTTCCTGTAATTCGAACAGCCGTCTGCCGTTGACTTACCCGTCAGGTGTCGGTCGGACTTCGGCCGCCCCAGGGGGGTGGTCTTCCACGCCTGTGTTTGGCTGAGGCTGTGTTCCTTTAATAAGAACAGCCGCCTGCAATTGATTTGCCCGGCAGGTGTCGGTCGGATCTCGGCCGATCGATGGGCGTGGTCATCCACACCTCTGTTTGGCTGAGGCTGTCTTCCTGTAATAAGAACAGCCGCCTGCAATTGATTTGCCCGGCAGGTGTCGGTCGGATCTCGGCCGATCGAGGGGCGTGGTCGTCCACGCCTGTGTTTGGCTGAGGCTGTGTTCTTTAATAAGAAAAGCCGCCTGCAATTGATTTGCCCGGCAGGTGTCGGTCGGATCTCGGCCGATCGAGGGGCGTGGTCGTCCACGCCGTAGACGACCACGGCCAAGAGGACAAACTCAGACGACCACAAGCCGTCCCGTCCGTCGTCGTGGTCGTGTTGTCCCTTGTACTCTTGAGCGTGGTCGTCCACGCCGTAGACGACCACGAAGGGGTCCTAGGCACTGACCCCAGCTCCTGACCAGGTCTTTGAGATTTTGCCGGCCAAATACGTTGGCCAAGGCCACACTGACAAGTTTGCTTGCTGCCTATCTCACTGTCTCTTCGTTGCCTGACCTTTCGTGGATCATGCACACAGAGATGATGGCTCGTGCTTCAGTTTTTTCTCAAGCAACCTCTAACTGGGGAGAGGTTTCCTGCATGTTCCTCGTACACCAAACGATCGGCCAGCGACCAGCTTTAATCATGGCGCTGCATTTCAAGCTTTTTCATTACAGGAAAGGATTAGATTGTGCATGTGTGCAACAGTGCCGGAGGCCGACATGACTAGGGACGTCAGCAAAGAACAATATTTGCCGGAGCCATGAAACGCCTTGCCGAGTCGGATGAGACGGCTGAGCTGTTGATGATTTCTCCACCGTCTTGGCTGAGCTGGCGGGCAGAGAGGACCTGGTCCCCTGCTTCGTCTGCAAGGAGATTCTGGGCAAGCAGATCCAGGTGGAAAGGGTCGGCCAGCTGCTTGAGCATCTTTCCGCCTTGGTGGGAACCTCCAACGGGAAAACCACCTGCATGGCCAATTTTCAATCTTCGTCGCCTGATGCAGTGAGACCGACCAAAGGGCACGTCCACATCTGTATGCTCAATTTTCTGAGTGAGCGAGGATATGGTGCCTTGTCCGGGAATTAACTTGTCGTGCTGCCGAGTGCATGATGCTTCTTAAGTACTGATGGCCATTATGACTTCGTTTCTGTGACCTCCCAGGTTTCGAGGTGACGGTGTCTGATTGTGTGCCCTTTGCTCAAGACATCCTGTCTGGACGTTGTTCTCAGATGCTGGAGATTGAAACCCTCGAGGGCAAGGATGACGATGCTTTGAAACCTCGCGATAAGATGTTTTTGGGCTATGGAGCCGGAGGTGCATTTGTGAACAGTTTGATGCTGGGCAGCCTCGGCCTCATCGCCTTGGTCTGCTTGACCTTCTCTGCGAAGACGAAAGAGTTGCCGGCATCCGTGACTGAGATCCTGTCGCAGGTGCCCGTTGTTTGCCCCACAAGAGGCCAGGGGCAGACACCGCAGGATCGCACTGTGAATGCACTGCACAAGACGTTGAAGGCGTCGCAGTACAACCGGCGCCTGAACCTTGTCATGATTGCTTCCACGCTACGAAGATCCTTGGAAGCCAGGCTTGCCAAGATCTCGCCTGACAAGGACACCGACTTGGCTTCGGACTCCATCATGCGTGAGATCAAGGCCATCATTAAGGCCTTCAACAACAAAGCCTCGTTCATGCCGAGGTCTCAGATCAAAGCGCGGAGTGAATGGGCCCTGCGACACGCCCTTTCCGACAAGCATATGCCTGAGGAGGCCGGGTGTCTCAAAACTATTACATCAAAGTCACACCGTCTGTGTGCCCAGGTTTGGCATCGGGTCCTGCAAGTCTCCCGTTCCGCTTACTGGAACGACCACCTCCTGGAGACTCGCAGCTTCTTCGTGGGTTTGAGTGCGTCCAGCCCTCAGACTTTGCCTCCTCAAATCTCCTCTCCTGATGTATGCTTTCTGTCTGACGCTTGTGTGATGTCCCCTGCTCGTTTGGCAAATGTCAGGCGTGACGTGGCACACGAAGAGATGGAACAATTGTACAAGGCCACGACTGAGACCTCTTTTTACATCCTGCAGAGAATTCAGTCGGGAAAAGTACCGGGCTGCGACTTGGACAAGCCCATCCCGACCAGCCTGATCTCCAGCTTCGTCTCCAGAGTTTGCATTGTCTTCAGCATTGCGAGAACAGTGCTGGATCCGATTTCCACTGACTTCGGACACAAGCTCTTGGAGAACTTCGAGGCCGGTCGCCTGAGTGCTCGCCTGGACGACCTGGCCACCATGCCTGTCAAGGAGGAACAACAAAGGGGTTCCCTAAGTCATTTTTTTTCTTGCACCCAGTCCACTCTGTACTGCTGTCCTGCCAGGACTACAACCACAAGTCCGATGCTGCCGCCCTCGTTGCCAAGTACGTCCCCTTGGTTGATGAGATGCTTACAGGTAAGAAACAAGAGGAGATGGCTGAGAACGCCGAAGCGGAAAAGGAGAAAGAAACCGCGGAACAGGAAGCTGTGCAGGAGGCTGAGGAAAAGCTCTGCCTCGCGAACCTCAAGCATGATTGGGAGATCTACGAGGCATGTGCTTGCTTTCTTTTTTTCAAATTGCCCACAATTACTCCGCCCAGTCAAAGACGAATGCTTTGCCGCCAGGCTTGGCACTGTACGTCTGCCGTGACCATGGATGAGTGGAGAGATAGCCAGCAATCCTGGCAGAAGGACTTTTTCATGTTTCGCGACCTTGCAGACTTCTGCTTAATTGCTTTACATGCTGTGCTTCTTTAAGCCTGCAGGAACGCCACAACATATTGTGGAAGGAGGCCGGGCGGCGGCTAGGCTTTCTGGCCACTGTGGACCACCTCAGCAAGGAATGCTATGCCACGAGGGTGCCCTCGCAGGTCCGAGGACTCTTGTCGGGAGAAATGGCAGATGCTGCCGTGCTTGTCGTGGCTGACCTACAAGGGCACGTACCGCATTGCGACCTGGAACGCACGTTGTGCGACACCATGGCAAGCATCCCAGAAGCGGCGAAACTTCTGCTGTTCACGGATATGCCGCCCCGCCGACACAAGACTGAGAAGACCGTGCAGATGCCAAGCTCCATGCAGGTGGACGCGGACGAGGCGGAGGAGAGCGATTGCGAGCCTGAGGAGCAGGACGGCGACCACTCACTCCCTGCCGTCCGTGCCGAAGGCAATGTTCGCCTGACGTTGCCTGAGAAGCAGACGCTGCTGGCTGAGCACCGAAAAGTGCTGAGCAAGCAGCTGTCTGAGACCTTTGGCGACGGTGTGAACAAGCACTTCGACCTGCCGTTCACACTGCTGTTCAACATGCCACTGCAGGGCCGGCTGACGATGGACGGGCTTCTTGTGCAGCCGATCAAGGGCATGAGCCGGCTAGATGGCACATGCTTGGCGTCCGGTGGGGTCGGCGTGCTGCAGCGACCCGACAAGGTCGTCAAGTTCAGCAAGGAGGCCACCCGGAACATGCGCAAGGAGCAGTGCGGACCCACCAGTGTCGCCAGGAACGGTGTGAATGAGGGCCAGCGGCTTCAGAAGGGACCCGGCATCTGTGGACACATCCTGCGAAATCTCATGATTTCTCTCGTGCGGCACAAGGTGCACAAGGCAGGCCTGATCGTGGTTGACCTCTGTTGCGCCCAAGGCGACTGGCTCCTGGCCATGGTGGCTGAGCAGATGCACATCGAACTGCCTGACCGCTACGACATGGATGATGACGAGGTGCCTCTTGATGGAATGCCTGACATACCCATGAAGTACGTCGGCTTCGACACGCGGGAACATGCAGTCGGATTTGCAAGCATCCGAGCCCAATCCGAAATCTATGAGAGGCTGAGTGCTTCCGAGCTCGGCTATGCCGCCCCTCCCGTCTTGCAGGATGACAAACCCGAGCCGGTCTGGCAGAACCTGGTGGCTGAAGTGAACCGCCAGCTGAAGATCCTCAAGGTGAAGAACAAAGATGGCAGTCTGACGGTGCCCGCCCCGAAAAATTTCAAGCTGCAGCGGGACAGCGTCTTGGAAGCCTTGGAGGTGCTGCAACGTGAGGCAGCAAGACTCGGCCCACGCTTTGGCGAGACTGAGAAAGAGAA